TTTTTTTTTTTTTAGTGCGGAGTTTTTCATCCGCTAATTACAAATTTCTAGACATTTGTCTCTCTCTAGTTGTAGTTGATTACTCAGAATTATGTTTTTTTTTTCCCTTTCTTTTTTATTTGTTGGGATAATTTGCAAAATACCCCCATAAGCTGAGATATGTGCCAAAATGCCCCTGAAAGATGTGGGTAGAGCGGAATGCCCCTCTTGCAAAAAGAAAATTTTGTGAAATACCCCTCGCGTCGGTTGGACCTCCCATCTTTGTGATATACCCCTATCGGGTACCATCCAACTTTGCAAAATACCCAGAACTTGGCAATTTTCCTAAGGCCCAGTTGCAAAAGGCCGTGCCTAAGTGGCGAGGTCAAGATTGCAAATTTGCACACCCGCCTGACAGGGGCATAACACAAAGATTTCGCCCCAAAAGGGCATTCCTCTCTACCCACATCTTTCAGGGGCATTTTGGCATACAGCTCAACTTATGGGGGTATTTCGCAAATTATCCCTTATTCTTTGAGGTCAAGATTGCAAATTTGCACACCCGCCTGACAGGGGCATAACACAAAGATTTCGGCCCAAAAGGGCATTCCGCTCTGCCCACATCTTTCAGGGGCATTTTGGCATACATCTCAACTTGTGGGGGTATTTCGCAAATTATCCCTTATTTTTTTCACAACAATTTAATCGGAATTGTGAGGGCATAGCCGCACTTCACTGGCTTCAGTAATATTTACAAGGTTTTATGTACAACATAGTTTCTTTTTAAAAAGAATTGTCTTCTCTTTTGCCGAATTCCACGATTTTTTGGTTATAATTTTTAATGTTCACGGCTCTTGGCCTCCTTTTGCAGGTGGTGACCTTATACCCTGAAGTGGATTGTGTTCGCGTTTTTCTTGGTGGTGATGCTGGTGGGGGAAAGAAGGGGGGAAGTGGGGGGGGAGGAGGGGGCGCTTATATTTTGTTGCGGCCGTTGGGGGGGAAGAGGGGTTATTCAAGTTCCAAAGAGGAAGGAACGGAACGTAAGGAGGGGATTTCAACCCCCGGTTCAAGAAGAAGGGGTTTTCGACCCCACCTGTGGTGCAGCGGCAAAACATGGCAACTGCGGAGGTCTTTGAGTTTGAATCACATCCAGGGCGAACCCTAAGTCTCCTCCTTTTCACAGATGTCACTAATAGCAGGTATACACAGATGAGCTCAAGTTTTGGCCCGAAATCTGGTGTGGCCTCCCTCCCTCTCTCTCTCTCTCTCTCTTGCTCTCTCTCTCTCTCTTGCTCTCTCTCTCTCTCTCTCTCTCTCTCTCTCTCTCTCTCTCTCTCTCTCT